AAGTCATAAATGAAGCATTTCTTCCTCACAACCATTAATCTCCTTCTTCATTTACTGGCCGGATAATTCCTGCAAATATGGAACTGAAAATCAGAAAATAAAATTAACCATGAAAAATTGAGGAATGAAAAAACTTTGGAAGCATATAAATCCCAAGGTACAATATTGTATATCAAAGATAAACGGCCTAGTGATGTGAAATGAAAGAGAAAATATCACTGATTTAAACAATGCCAACATTTTCAAATAATAGAACTTCATATTAAAAATAAAATAATTCCTGAAAAAAACACCAAACTTTTTTTATTCCTGTTTTCTCTACCATGAAGATGAACTCTGTTTTTTTTTGGTAGTCATTTTTCAAAAAAATGGTCATTTATTTTTTTATTAAGTGTGTAAACTTAAGGCNGGGGGGGGGAGAGAGAACTTAAGGTGAATCATTTAAAGGGGGATAAACCAAAGGGAGACAATTCAGGATCTAGTGAGGCAATGCAGAGCAGGTGACACACTACAGCGACTACACAGATTATACAGGTAAAGTTACTGAGTAATTAACATCCAGAATCACCTGACCATGTCTTTGTACAACTGAGTAATTAACATCCAGAATCACCTGACCATGTCTTTGTACAACTGAGTAATTAACATCCAGAATCACCTGACCATGTCTTTGTACAACTGAGTAATTAACATCCAGAATCACCTGACCATGTCTTTGTACAACTGAGTAATTAACATCCAGAATCACCTGACCATGTCTTTGTACAACTGAGTAATTAACATCCAGAATCACCTGACCATGTCTTTGTACAACTGAGTAATTAACATCCAGAATCACCTGACCATGTCTTTGTACAACTGAGTAATTAACATCCAGAATCACCTGACCATGTCTTTGTACAACTGAGTAATTAACATCCAGAATCACCTGACCATGTCTTTGTACAACTGAGTAATTAACATCCAGAATCACCTGACCATGTCTTTGTACAACTATTTAATTCTGCATCAACCCGCGGCTCACTTTTGTATCTTTAGAAATAGACTTATTGCACATTTCAAAACGATGGGCCATCATTCTTATATATGTGAAAAGGACTGACCAAGATCAAAAGGTACACAATTCAGTCTTTAAAGTATATTTTCAACATGAATAAAACTTGCCTTGTAAAGTAAATAAAATATTTTTGATATATTCTTTGCTTTCTGAGCAAAGAAGCTTTTAAGTGAGAAAAAAGAAAGAAATGATCACTTATTTCACCACTTAAACATTTTCTAAAAACTAGATGCTAAAAAAAAGAATTCTTGATAGAAACACAAAACTTCCAACTTCTATAACTTTGTTAAGATGAATTATAATTTAAGGACTGATGATTTTTTTTGTAAAATAATTGTTTGATTGACAAAGACAAAATCATGTGGTTCGTGGAATGGAATTGATCTTAGGAAACTCTGCCAAAGTATGTATATAGGTTATAAATACACAACCGAATGAAATTTACAACATTGATCACAAATACATCAAAAACATCTCAAAAAGAATATTGTATATAATAAAACCAATATACAGAATAACAACTTGGAATAAACACTACGAAATGACAATAAAAACTTGTGAGCCAAGGGGAGTAACTCACTTTGCACTTGATATGACCTTTGCACTTTTGCATACAAGTTTGTTCATTAAAAAGATATACACAGAAGCAAATGATGCATATGACAAACAAGATATATATTTATATATATATAACTGATGTATGATGACAAATATCATGTGTCTTGATTAGTCTAAAGCAATGGCCGCCAGGGTCAACTTTAAAAGAGCAGTGATTTGATTGGATGAAATATTTGTATCAGACTATCTTATTGGTCAAATTACAAACCATGACTATGAACCAATGAATTTGTTTAATTTAGAACACGTCAGGGCTAGAAGACTACACAAAAACTTCGTTGAAATCAAGAAAGAACAAGTAAAATATTAAATCAAGACATTATTTATAGATTAAACAAAACGTTTAAAGTTTACTAATTCAATCCAATAAATATTTGTATGTCGATATATTGATAAACAGATTCAAAGTTTACACATACAACCGATTACATTCAAATGGAATAAATACCTGTCTAACATGCCTGATGGTCTATTATATTATTTCATTTCATTGAATATTGTCGCCATAGGAACAGCAGTTGGAACTTCCTCTGTATGCAAATCATTTCGAAATGTAAGCACAAAATTAATCTACAGAGCTCACTTATTTCATTCAAAGCTGATGAGGACATCCACCATTTGTTAGGTTTGTTTTTTTGATAGCTTTCCCCACCATTTGCGATTAATTTCATGATTCTGTTAAGTTCGAATGCGAGTACATGTATTAGTTCTTGTTAACAAAACCCTTTTAAACATCCAAATCAATGTTTTGACATTTTTTGATAATTTATTCTTTCATTAACCCTTTCACCACTGTATACCATGATGGACTCATCCATATCATCAATACATGGTAGAGTCTACTGACGTTACTTAGGGGTGAACGGGTTAAACATAGTCAAGATTCTGTTAAAAAATATATTTCATTGCAAACTTACAATTTTCTTGAAAATGTTTCAATACCTACGTTTTAAAAGATTTTGTTAGACATAAAGAATGAAATATAATGAGCGCTTAAACAACCTTTGATTCAGCTTACTTTTACAATTCTGAATTCCACATATCTCTACCTTCAAATGAGAGTGTGGCGGTACATATCGACACAACCGTCATTACAGGAGGAGATATACTGTTATTCTTCTTGTCATGGAGACCTGAAACAGAACAGACTCTCCGACGAAAGTAAATGATTTGAAAGAGGAAAACCACACCTACTCTTTAACTTCAAGTAAATATCTGTCTTTTGATCAATCTCTGGCATTTCTAGGTTTTAATTCCTTAAATTGAAAACATTTCTTGTTTATAAATCTAAATAGATACTCTATAGTTAGTTGAATATGAAAATAAGCCTCTTTTATAACTAACATAGTCCAAACCTTTTTTCTCTCCAAATTACTTGTGCATTTATTTCTTTAGTCTAGCTGGAAGATTTTTTTTATAAGTTAGATATTTAGAAATCAGAGCGAGTTTGCTACTGTAAACTTGGGTCTAAAATGGGGCGGGCTTATCACCGAGCATGGGCTTATAAGAGGTAAAATACAATGACTATACTACACTAACTGCTGTTTTAATACAGCAATGCATAAGTTATAGTATAATATAGAGGAAATGGTCGTCATATAAGTATCACTTTTAAAAACAGCAGTAATGTCACTGAAATCATCATTTAGACAGCGATTCAATCTATAAACATACCACACTGCAGACGACACGCAAACATCTGAATTCAAAATTCAAGATTTTTAAAGAAAAAAACATTTCTATTGTGACATTCATTCACATCATTAGTCAAAGTAGCCCCGTTGGTGTGGGGAACCTTTCTCCCCCCTCCAGCACCAACATAAGTAGCCCCGTTGGTGTGGGGATCCTTTCTCCCCTTCCAGCACCAACATAAGTAGCCCCGTTGGTGTGGGGAACCTTTCTCCCCCTCCAGCACCAACATAAGTAGGTCCATTCTGTGATCTGACACAACCTGTTTCTGTAAGCTAGACAGCATTCACTGTCACACATCAGTATCAATATTGGAAGACATTCGTCATAAAAAAATAAAACTCTGTGTTGTCAAGGTTTTTTAAACTTCCTTGGATTCCCAAGCACAAATCTTTGTCATTTGACCTACAGATTTTGTACGCTGTTGAGTCCTGAACACTTGGAAGCAAAAACTCTGTTCCTCAATATACCTGTCTTGTGTTTAAACAACAAGACAAAATCAGCGATAGAAACTGATTCCCATACCTTGTAAGCATTTAAAAGTTCCCCAACACAAAACATTTTGTAACTGAAAATACGAAAGAAACTAAACAAAATATTTTATATAAGGCTTCCATTATGGTAAAACATCCCATTCTACTCGAGTGGTCATCAGTTTTTGAGGACAACCATAACTAAATTGAAAAAAAATGAAACAATTAAGTTCTGGAAAGAAATATTTGGAGATTATTTAACATGCAAACTTTACTTATTTCTACTTTAACTTTAAAAATATAAAAGTTATCATAGATATAATTTTTATGCTGATAATACTCAAGGTTTTACATTAAGGATTACAGGAGTGATTGAAGTGTTTAATGCAATCACTCCTTGAGATTTTACAGTGATATTCACTGGAGATTTAAAGGTGATAATTACTGATGTTTTTTACTGTAATAATTACTGGATTTATAAATGTAAAATCTTCTTGATAGAAATTACAAATGGACTGACAGGTAATTTATTTTCCCCAAGAAAAGATCCTGAGATATTATCAAAATGTACTGTTAAATGACCAGTATGCTGAATATTCGGAAAAGGACACATGAAATTCATCGACTGTCATTTATTCCCTTTCACTGTTGATGTCTCATTATGGGCAAATCAAATAATAAATTAACATTGCCTTTTTTTCGTGTATTATTTTAACTCCTTGTTCAAATGTCAACTGAACTGAATTCTCCATTTTCACGTCTCTAATCAACATTTTCACGAAACTTTACTAAACTCTCCGTTTTCACGTCTCGCCATCATACTTATAAATTGGAATCGACTTAAAAATCTAGAATACCATATTCTTACACAATATTTCATGTCGAAACCAACGCATGGCCTAAAATTCAAGTCCTGTTTTGACAAAAATGAAGATAAAATAACATAGCTTTTAAATTTACATCCAAAAATTGAACGGATCAAATAATGAGCTTCCCCAGAAACAAAACCCAGTGTGCATGGTGTAAATATGTGATGAACTCCTCATATTCAGTCTTTGCGTATTGCAGAGTTATCTTTTCTTGGGAGCAGGTATTGATTGTTCCGTCATTGGTTTGTGCGAGAAAATTACGTCGTTTTCTCAAAAACTGATGACGTTACTCTCACAAACAAGTGAAGTAACAATCAATATCTGGTCCCAAGAGAAGATAACTCTGCAATACGCAAAGACGGAATGGTCTACTACCAGCTCCGAGTCTTGTTCATTCCTGGAGATCAGCGCCAACATGAACTGATAAAAGTATTTTCCAATATTTGACATTTTGTTCTGTTGCCAAAATAAATATATAAAAAAAATGTGTGTTTCAGGAGACATGCCTGAAAAAACATAGGATAGGTTGGTAGGCAATTAATTTCATTTAATTTTTTATTTTCATGGATCAATAAAAAGTTTTATATTAAATTTTAAACATTAAATTTGCCTGGCTTATAGATTAATATGAGATACAAGTAGGTGATGAAATTTTTATGGTCTGCAGAAAAATCTAGAGTAGATCGCGATTGGGATACCTGAAACACATAAAAAAAATATCTGATCATTTTGTGATTGAGGAAATTATAACACATATCTATCACAATAAATATCGATTGTACGACAAAGCCTCTCTAGACTAAACTATAGAAAACAGAATCTAAGTGAACCTGCCATCATCCAAGCATGACTTGTCTGAACTGAACGAGATGAAATCCATGAGTGAACTAGGTGTGAAGTTACATCGGTGATCAAACATTTGATGGAAATGAAACATTTCAATTTAAAAACTTGTTTATTTTGACCGAGCGTTTTTGTTCCCTATTGTAATATCCTGTGTAGGCAATGATCTGAAATGAACAGGACAACGATGCATTTCACTCGCACAATGACGGAGGACTATGTCAGCTCACACGAAAATACCAGGATTAAGATGTCGACATTCACACTGGTTACATTCTTATATGAACGAGGTTAACTTTAAAATGAGTCAATGTTACTGGAGGAGAGACGTCAGTGATGTCACTCAGTATCACAGTAACCCAGACCAATCTGTGTGACCCGGTCACTGACCGCCTCCTACGGCCAACCAGTCCACCAATCACTGACCGGCTCCTACGGCCAACCAGTTCACCAATCACTGGTCACTTAAAACAATCTTTACATGATTCAACACTGCCGGAATCTCGACATTGAGGAACAGTCATTTGTATGACTTCCTACCAGAGAAAAAGCAATGTTCATACCTAAAACTCAATATTTAAGGGGCCATAACTCCACTTTTCCAATTAAAGGGAGATAACAATTAAATCACTTTTTCTTTTGTAATTTCTTTTGTTCTTTTTCCTTGGCTTTCCTTTCTTTATCTTGAAGTTTCTTTTCCTTGTCCAAAGCCATTTTAATTTCTTTAATCTTCTTTTTGAGTAGGTCTCTGTCTTTGCTCGAGGTCACACCGAGAGCCTGTTGAAACATAAAACAGGAGAGATACAACACCACCGGACATAAAACAGGACAAATACAACACCACCGGACATAAAACAGGAGAGATACAACACCACCGGACATAAAACAGGACAAATACAACACCACCAGACATAAAATAAGTGTAAATTAACTTTGATCTCCTCAATGTTTACCATTTCCAATTTAAGGTTGTTGTTGAAAAAATTAAAGTTCTGTGTAGATTTTGTGAAACATGATTCTTGTTTTTCCGAAGCTAGCTAGAACACTGACAGGTCAGTCAGCAGGGGCCTGCTTTATGCCTGAAAGACCTGTCCGTACCCCGGTCCATACCCCTGTCTGTACCTCTTTCTGTACCCCTCCGTACACCAGTCCGTACCCCTGTCTGTAAACCTGTCCATACCTGCCAGCACACATGCGCACCCTTGTCCGTAGACCTGTCCGTACCCTTGTCTGTATTCCGGTCCATACCCCTGTCTGTATTCCGGTCCATACCCCTGTCTGTACCCCTGTCTGTAAACCTGTCCATACCTACCGGTACCCTTGTCCGTACCCCTGTCTGTAGACCTGTCCATACCTGCCAGCACCCATGCGCACCCTTGTCCGTACCCCTGTCCGTACCCCTGTCTGTATCCCGGTCCATACCCCTGTCTGTACCGCTCCGTACACCTGTCCGTACCCCTGTCTGTAAACCTGTCCATACCTACCGGTACCCTTGTCTGTACCCCTGTCTGTAAACCTGTCCATACCTACCGGTACCCTTGTCCGTACCCCTGTCTGTAAACCTGTCCATACCTGCCAGCACCCATGCGCATCCTTGTCCGTAGACCTGTCCGTACCCCCGGCCGTACCCCTGTCCGTACACCTGTCCGTAACTACCGGTACCCTTGCCCGACACCCATGCGCACCCTTGCCGTACACCTGTCCATACACCTGTCCGTACCTACCGGTACCCTTGTCCGTACACCCATGCGCACCCTTGTCAGTAGACCTGTCTGTACCTACCCGTACCCTTGTCCGTACACCCATGCGCACCCTTGTCCGTACCTACCGGTACCCTTGTCCGTACACCCATGCGCACCCTTGTCCGTAGACCTGTCCGTACCCCTGTCCGTACCTACCGGTACCCTTGTCCGTACACCCATGCGCACCCTCTGTACACCTGTCCGTACCCCTGTCCGTACCTACCGGTACCCTTGTCCGTACACCCATATGCACCCTTGTCCGTACACCCATGTCCGTACACCCATGCACACCCTTGTCCGTACACCCATTCGCACCCTTGTCCGTAGACCTGTCCGTACCTACCGGTACCCTTGTCCGTACACTTGTCCGTACCTACCGGTACCCTGTCCGTACCCCTGTCTGTACACCTGTTTATACAGTCATTTCTAAACATTTTCTTCAGGTTGGTAAGTATGGATTATGTAAAGTTCTTTTTACACAACCAATAAGATTTCTATGTGATGTTTCGATGACTAGCACAAATTGTGTTTGGTCTGTTAAGATTCTACAACAGTAACGTCTGCCTTCACAATATTTTTCTTTTAACTCATTCACCCCTAAAGACACATTTGAACTCTTCCAATTCAAATGTTGGAATAGTTCATTATGAATTTCAATGGTGAATGAGTTAAAGCACTATGCTGCATTGTTCAATGGTGCTATGGTTCAAATAGAATGGCAGATAAGCCAACTTATTAACAGAGCGCCTTAGAGGAGATTTACAAATTATATAGGGCCCTATATAAATTTTGTATGTCATTATTACAACTGATGTGCTCGATACTTCCCTGTAATCCTGTTTTAGAACTATTTTAAAGTACTATAACTCTAAGCCTAATACAGTTCAATACTTACATTTTATTTATTTGATTTTCACAATAAACTGATATTCAAATTTCATATTTCTTACAATTAAGGTAGATTGCAACCCCCTCCCAAATATTTCAACAAATACCAGCCTATCATCTCTAACACTATCACGATTGATCACAGAAGACCTGTACTCACCTTCAGTTTCGCACCATCAAATTGCAGTAACTGTGTGCCCGAGACATTCTTGTCCTTAAACATAGGGATATATTTGTCCATCTCTAGTGCCATCAGCCAGTGGCACACGCTTTCACTGGTCCACTCAGAAATCCCCCCTGACTGGAACTGATTCATGGTTCGTCGACTTCCAGGTCCTGTAGGTGTCTCCTTAAAAATCAACCAGTATCACATGTTTCATTGCTATTCATTAATTTTTGGGGAAAAAAAAGATACCTTAGTCAATTAAATACATTAATTAAGATGACAGAATGGGCTGATCGGACAAGTAATATGATAGGGAGACACTTATAAGGAATGGGCTGATCGGACAAGTAATATGATAGGGAGACACTTATAAGGAATGGGCTGATCGGACAAGTAATATGATAGGGAGACACTTATAAGGAATGGGCTGATCGGACAAGTAATATGATAGGGAGACACTTATAAGGAATGGGCTGATCGGACAAGTAATATGATAGGGAGACACTTATAAGGAATGGGCTGATCGGACAAGTAATTTGATAGGGAGACACTTATAAGGAATGGGCTGATCGGACAAGAAATATGATAGGGAAACACTTATAAGGAATGGGCTGATCGGACAAGTAATTTGATAGGTAGACACTTATAAGGAAAGGGCTGATCGGACAAGTAATATGATAGGGAAACACTTATAAGGAATGGGCTGATCAGACAAGAAATTGATTAAAAACCAGATGAAAAGATACATAAAGAAAATGTTCTAAATTCCTTTTATTTTAATTTTTGTTGGGGGAAAATGAGGTATGCAACAGTGTCATACCTCTGTGGTCGGTGTCCCAGAAATATTGAAGGTGTGGGCCGACTTCTGTTTCCAGTCCTCGTCTTCGTAATCTTGTACCATGAATGACGACGAAGTGTCACTTACTGTACTGGCACCTGTAATTGTCCGAATATTGTAAAAATGTCAGCGGTGAACGAGAAAATAAACTGGTGTAGCACTCAAGATCAGTCCAAATAGGAAGTTGGAGGACAGTTAAACTTTTACTGCTAGAACAATGGAGCTGAATGCAGAGGTTAACAATGATGTTTATATTAGCATATAAGAAATCTCAATCAATATTACTTGTGAAACACACACTTGTATCATAGGATGTCTGCTGAAAAAGAAAAAGAAAACAGAATCTCACACAATCAACATCAAACAGAAAGACCGCTGGGCCTTGTGCAAAACATGCAAAGTCGAAATGCAATTTCATGAATTTGTAAAACTACATTCATAATCGAGTGCTAAGCATTTCTATACTGTATTTCACATCTAACTCAATTTCATTTACTGATTACAACTAAGACTCATCCTCAAGCAAATAGGAGGATACCCCTGTTACAGAAATAGGATTGACAGTGTTAATAGGATTAGATACAATATATAAATACTGGGCCAGTCTATTATATGTATACAGGGTAGAGCAGGATGTATTCATCTCATATCAAATATATACATATATATATAAAAAAGAAAAAAATCTTAACAACACATCGTTAGTGATTTCATCTCATCAAGGAGGTTAATCTTCCATTTCTGAATATACACAATAGTATATTTCCATGCAAAGTCTTAAATTACTTATCCAGATAAGTGCTTGATAGCAAAATCTTTACTTTTAGATCATGATCATGATTTACAAAAGATGAAATCTTCAATAACATCCAGGTCAATGTAAGGCATACCATGTAACGAGAGGGCCACAATATGAGCCAGGTGAGCTAAAATATCTATTTTCAAGGGATTTTGCTATTTTGACATGTAGCGAAACTATAGACTGGGTCGATCGCCAGTGATGGGGTAGCTCTATTGGTAGTGTCCGTGTAGAGTTTGAGAAGGAACCAGGTTCAAAGCCCGGTCTGGCCATTTCATTTCTCCTGTTATATACAGAAGATGTTGGCAGGTCGACACAAGCTGTCCCAAAAGGATTTGAACCTGTAACCGCCTAAACATCAGTGCTCCATTGGTCCTCAACAATATTATAAAATACAATTTGACAAGTACAGTTGTCCATATTTCTGTATCAATAAAATGTATCCAGTTACATAGAATAATAGGTCTGCAATATCACATCTAAAGTTTATGAAGCCTTGATATACATGTTACTGTTTCATAGGTGTCAACCTCGGAAACCTCCAATGACGGAGATCTCCCTCGTTCCTTATTTTCATTGAGGGAAAAGTGCACGAAACACGACTGAAACTACTTTGCTCAATTTATCTTTCCCTTTTTATGTATCAAAATAATTCCAAAAAGCGTTCATTTGATTCAGACACACCTGTTATGGTCGTTACACACACCCTGCATTAACTAGGGGATCATTTGAAAAAAGGATGTAGATTTTGAGTTTGTGTGAGTTTGGACTTGAATGAGGAAGTTTCGAGCAAGGGAGATTAGAAAATTTTGGTCAAATAATGAAGGAGGGTCGACATGTATGACAGGAACGTGACAGGAACGTAACAGCAAAGGTTTATATAATGGAGTATGATTTCATAAACAAAGGGAAATAACTGTTGTATAATGCTGTATGGAGTTACCTCCCTTCTGCTGTTACTGGATACCACTGGATTAATTCAGAATGATGATATGATAAAGAGCCATTAATTGACCCATGAAACTTTACGATAACATTTCCAGATATTGTCACCGATAGATTCAGAAGTGTGGAGAAATGCTAGGTTTCAGTGAATAAAGCTTGGGGGAACTGTTCTGAAACTGCAAACTTCGAAAAAAATATACATACAAATAATTGAACGAATTTTAAATGACAACATCTGTGCTTCTATAATAATAATGCAATCAGAAATGAACAGATACTTTGATAACTTTTCAATTTACAACCTATAAACAGAATCCAAATACACAAAACAGCAAAATACACCGATACCGTATTCGCTTTAGTAAAAGCCCTTAGAATTCGGAACATGATTTGTGGGGTTATGAATTATCCGACTTGAAAGTTAAACACCAAGGTCGAATCAGATCTTATTTTTTAGTATTTGATTTTGTACTCCATCTCTCAAAATATGGATCACTGGGCCATGTTAACTTCTCCTGTTCCACAACAAATCAGTAACAAGCACATTACATCTGACGCATGACAGTTGTAACGATTGAAAGAAACATTATCACAATTTTTATATGAAATTCCAATGAAACTTAAGCGACGCACGAGTTACCCCCCCTATTGAATATGCGGTTTTCCTGCCGCTAAATCATAAAATGCATCTTACCTGTTTGTTAAAATGAATTAAGTTAATCTGTTGATGTGTTTTAAGCTGTGTCACAGGTACAGAGCTTTTTGTAACCACATGTGATGGCTATAAGACACATAACACAGTATTCATAGGATAATGCCTTTTATTCTGGGGGACCAAGCTTGGATCACTTGTCCCCCTCATTTGCAAACAGTGTTTTCACAAAAAAAAAAAAAAAAAAAAGTAGAAATAGGAAAAATAAGTGGAGGGCTTCTACTAAAACAAATATGGTATCCAAAATACTTCCAGACTAGAAATATAGGTGATAGTTTTTCTCTGAATACAGGCAGGATGCAAGTGTTGGTTACTGGAACCTACAAGCACAATACTATAAGATCTAATACCTTGTGTAGAGTCAGCCTTTTTCCTGTTCACTAGTTACCAGTACAAGAGAGAGAGAGGGCACACAGTTTATACAAAGCAACAGACTATAACACAAACAACAGCAAAAACATTAACCAACGTATCTTGTGGACATTTTTTGGGATTGCTTTTTGACCCGATATTTTTTAATTTCTACCAAACTGCAATATTTTTTTTTTTTTCAAAATCAAGTTTTTGTACATGTATATCCAACCAAACTTCAGCTCCTCCAAATTAAAGTTTCATTTTTATGCCTTACATATATGTTTTCATTGCTTCTTCCATAAATAATAATTTTTGAAATTATATTTTTTTGATTAAATGCTATATTTATCTCTTTACTTAAATGTGTCCTTAATATTAATTCACCCTGGTAATTGATATTTTCCTCAAAAAAAACCCCAACCCAACAAATAAAATCCTGTCTCCTTTCCTGTGGTGGCAACTTACCATCCATAGATATTGAATCAGTGGAGTATGCAGCATCCAGGGGGCGCTTGGACACCAAGATGACCCCGTCACCGTCTCGACTCCCTAACGACACGTCATCTCCTAATGATTGCTTCGACAGGAGAGTGATGCCCCCGGAATTTTTGTTGGAGGACTTCGCTCCATCCAAGGGTGTTTTGGATAACAATACCACTCCTCCGCCGGAAATATCCCTACTCCCTGACTTTCCGAAGGTTAAAAATTTCGGAAGTCCTATTCCTAGATTTAAATTAAGACACAATGATTGAGGTTTGATCTTTTTCTCAACATATAGCTTTAATAGAAAACCTATCACCGATTCTCAGCATGAAAAATGAATTCAGTCGAGTCTCATTCCAGTTTGAACGTAAAACATTGCCACAACCTCCTCGACTGAATCTGAATAAATAAAAGCCCCCGTCATCTACCACCAAGACCAAAATACCAACCATCATCGTCCGAGTCTATTCAGCAAACTACTACCACTGGATGAGAACATTCCATTCACCATTTACACTCTGATGCTACAGTTTGATTGTGTTTTACGTCCTATTTACAGCTATGGTCATTTAAGGACGGGCTAGGTTTTGGTGGTGGAGGAAAGCCGGAGTTCCTGGAGAAAAACCATCGACCTACGGCCATTACGTGGCGACTGCCCCACGTAGGCCTTGAACCCGCAACCCTGTGGTTGAGCGCTAGTGATAGCAGAATGTTGTACCTAATAAAAGTCACTTCTCTAAAACCACTCTGAAATGTACGGGCCACACAGCTGGGGCATGCAACTCCACCAAACAGTCACAGAGTCTAACAAGCTGTTTTAGGTGTTAGATATGGACCATAGGACAATTCTTTCAAGAGCTTTTGAAATTATGTTTAAAAACTGGTTTTCATTCATTTCTTTATTTTTCTTTTCTCTTTTCTTCAAAATATTTCATTCCCCCGCGCCCC